TCATGCTTGTTCAGTGGAATAAACTGAAAAAGTAGAAGCAGCATAGAATTAAAGACAAAGAGTGGTATATAAATCCCACACAAGACTCGACAAGTTAGCCTCTGGAAAGCTGTAAAATAGCTCAGTCAACCTAAGTTGCAGGCACAGCACCGTCCTCAAAAGAACACCCAGTAAATTTCTTTTGCCTCTTTCCAAGTTCTGGCTCATTTCTCTGGCATTGCTATTATCACCTCTCTGCATGACCCATTGCATCTCTCATTCTTTCCAACTCCACTGGTTCTCCTCTTCCCACTGGGTCTCATGACTTCTAAGACTCTCTCCTCTTCTTCCCCTACCTCCAAATGATGGAGGTGGGAACTCAAAGGAAAGTTTAAGGGTGCAAGTTAAGCTTCTGAACTCCCACGCCATCAATTTAGGAGTTAAGACTGGGAAAGTCAGCAATCCAAGTGTCCATAATAAAGGAATGGATGAATAAAACAGGCTATATCCATACAATGAAATATTATTCAACATTAAAAAGGAAGAAAATTCCGACCCCTACTGCAACATGGATGAACCTTGAAGATGTTACGCTAAGTGAAATATGCCAGTCACAAAAGGACAAATATAATGTGATTCCACTTCTATGCGTGGTCAAATTCATAGAGACAGAAAGCGGAATGGTGGTTGCCATCCTGGGGACGTGGGGAGAGGGGGAAATGAGTTTTCGTTTAATGGGGACAGAATTTCAGTTTGGGAAGATGAAAAAGTTCTGGACATGGATGATGGTGATGGTTGCATAATAGTGTGAATGTACTTAATGCCACAGAACTGTACGCTTTAAAATGGTTAAATGATGAATTTTCATTATTTCTGTTTTACCACCAAAAGAAGTCATGAGAGGAAGAAAAATATTGGGCAAGTCAGTTGATCTCTCATCTGTGAAATGAAGAAGAGGGAATTCATCCTTCTAGGAATTCTGTGCAATAGAGGTGATGGGATGTAAAGGCAGCTTAAAGAACCAACAAAACCTTTTCCCCTAGCTACCAATTATGTTAATGGAATGTCCTTTCACGCCTCTAAGGAGGCAGGTTAAGAGTTTCCCCTGACCGGGTCTCTTTTCCCTCACAAGGACAGATCAGTAGCAAAGAAGGATGTGCTGATCAAGTATTGAGCTATAAAACATTTAACTCACAAGTAGAGGATGTTGAGATGACAGGACTGAAGGAGATTAAATGAAGAGCGACATTCACAGGTGCTTACCACACACTGAGCATTTTACACGTTATTTTGTGTAATTTTTGCAAAGTCTCCAAGTTGGTGCTATCAGAACCAATTTTGTAATGAGAAAATTGGCTTCAAGGGTATAGATCACTGCTACCCAGCTAAGAGGCAGTGGTGCCATCATGAAAACCCATTCTGAGTGGCTCCATTCCATAGTAGCTGTTTATCTTGCCAGATTCAGCTCTGGGGGATCCTTTTCTCACCCACAGCTCCTCCATTGCTCCTGTTCCTTTCTCACAAGGGGGATTCCATCTCAATTTCTTCTAACCTGAACTATACACTCTCCCTTACTCCCTGCTGCACCCTAGTCCTGGCCACATCTACCCAAGCTTTTAAGAGTGCACAGCAGCGGGTGAGGGGAGGAATTGGAGTATGAAAAATAAGGAGGGTGGGTATGAGAGGTGGAAGGAAAAGTGAGTGAAGTTGGAGACATGAGCAATTCTGCTATCGCCATCCCCATAATCACAGACTTGAAGTTAGAGTACAGTTGGTCACAAGCTAATTGCTCCTTCTTGGGTCACGGGCTTAATAACCTGGCATGAGCGTGGAGAAGAAGTTCAGCAGTCAGGGTGCATTCAAATCTTCTGATCCCATCTCTTTTCCTAAATCACTATTCCCCTTTCAGGTGGGGTGGACCTACTGTTGATTCCCCAATCCCCACAAAGTCACTTTGGCGTTCCTGTGAAGTGGCTTTAAAATGATCTTTGAGTATCCTAAAAATGTTGCTTTAAAATACATTGATGTAATTGAAGGGATTCCACGACAAATTCAGGAATCCTAGAATAACAAAAAATTCCTAAAATATTATGAAAATAGTAATCAAGAATTCGTGGATCCAGCACTCACAGAAGAATATTCTTGTGTTATTTTTTAAAGAAACAAGAAATTTGAGGATAGTCTTGGACTTGGAGTTAACAAATGGACAGTTTGTCGGATTATCAGAAATAACATGATTCCATTTTAATAACTAGTAACCCAAAGTAAGTAATTGATGACATGGCAATTAAGGCAGATCTAAACCTTTGATTTTGCTTAAAGTCTCCACCTTGACACGCTTTTCTAAGTTAGTTGGTATACCTCTCCCCACTCGCACTATCCCAGCTTTCATCTACAAACAATAATGGAGGTTCAAAAGAAGGAAGAGAATGAAATATTTATTTCAAGGACTCAGAGTTTCACTTATGTTTCATTGTGAACATGGATCGAAGGATCACGGGATTCAATTTATTGGAAGATCCCATTGGGTCTTGTAAGGCATAGTGGTTCTTAAAATAGAAGAGTTGGATTCAAAGGCCAATTATTTGATCTACTCTCTCTAATCTATTGCAAAACATTTTTTCTCAGTATCTTTTTTTAAATCAGTCAAGTAGGGATGTTGCTACCTACAGGGCTTTGATGAAGATTGAGACGCACTATGAAAGTGTTTTTAAGCTACGAAATGCAAAATAAAATGAATATCCAACCGTGCCCTAAGACTACGTCTGACAGCTTTTACTCATTGAATAATAGTACAAGAAAGAATCTTGGTGTTAGGACAAGGGAGAGAAAATTACAATTCAGTAAGATCCTATTCCTCAAACACATTCCCATGCATGACATCATCGATTTCACATTATGTCCTGTGTGGGATCCATGTTGCTCAATATTTTCAGGTTGGTAAAATACATTCTAGAGATGTAACACACCAACAGACCGTTCAAAGGTAGAAGCAAAAGCCTACATTGGGTCTATTTGAATATTAGGAGTGGTTCGGGATATCCATCTGGCTTATTTAATCACAATATAATAATTATGGAAATGTACTCACATCTATCCCTTCTCAATCCATAAGAAATGAGGCTTTAGGCTCCCTCAAAGTATGTTTATATCCTTTGCTTTATTGAATCCTCTTAACACCCCCAAGAATTAAAAACATTACACCAAGAAAGACAAAAAGAAACTTAAGGCAAAGCCAATGTCGAATCATGGGGCCAAATATAGTATTATATTAGGATTCTGGAGATTGTTGTAGGCAGCATATTAAATACCTAAACTGTGAAAAAGCCTTCTTGAGGTGACAGCTCATTTGTCCCCATGAGCAGTGACACCTGAGCAACACATAGGTCAGGACCTCCTGGTGGTTGGACTTCAGGAACATTCCATGGTAAAGCCACTGCATCTCATCAGCAGGATCACCACCACCATTTGTCTTCAGGGTCATTAAAATCCCACTTACACTTGATTCTCAGAAAGGACCCCTTCTCCTGTAATTCCTCCAACTCCCCTTTCACTATGTCATACAAGTGTTTTTCAAGCCTGCAAAAATATAGAGAGAATGAGAAGAGATGATAGAATGAGATGATAAAATAAAACAGGTGCCCCATACAAAAACTAACTTTTGTTTGCCTTCATATTAGTGCATCTCCATCTCTAGCCTCACCCAGAGACATTGGAGAGGAGATTTGAAGGCACAAGAACCCTTTCCAGAGAGAAAAGTCACAACCACAGAAGAAAAAGATGGGAAATCCTTGGGAAAGATGACAAAATAGACAAAGGACAGAGTAACTCAGGTCATTGTTGTCACTGTGTGTAAATCTGATTCCTTTCATTTGTATCATTAATGTTAAGCAGACTTTTGAAAAATAAAGTCTTAGCATTCTCTTCTTCGAGAAGAGGTGAGAGTCTGGGTACTCAATCAGAAGTCCCCTCTACAACTTAAATCACACACATACACAGTTGGTAAGGAGAGAAATGTCCGTCTCTGGTGATCACCATCCCAGAACTCTTGTAAGAATGCATTGCTTAGATGGAAAGTTGGTAACATAAAATCCTGAACGTATGGGTTTTGACCGACTTCCCGAGGTAGGCAAGGTTCCTGGGTATCCAAGATGACTTCTGCTAAAATGTACCTAGTTTAATGTCTTTCACTGCTTACCTGTCTGACCCCATCTCCAGAATACTGAATAAGGTGAAGAGTATTCTAATTAAAGACTCTTCCTTCAATGCCTCGAAGGGACAACATAAAGCCTTTGCACATGCTATTCTGGCTTCCTTAGAACACTCCACTCTGCATCTCTAGTCTCTGTCCATGTTCCCCTTCTGATACATAAATTCCTCTTTCCAGCCGCCTTGGGACTCAAAATCAATGACACCACTTCAGACATGCCTTCCCTTATACCTTAATCACCCTTGTTTTCTGCACCACAACCCAGAGCTTCCTTCAACTAACTGCTTTTATATGTCTTAGATATGTATCTTTCTGAGAAGAATGCAGGCTCTTGAGAATGAGGCTCAGGACTATTTGTTTCCCACTGTCTGCCATGCTGTGCCGCTTGGACCACAGTCAGCACTGAAAAGAAGTTGTGGAGTGAATGTACGTTGAGTGAAACATAGAGTAGGTACAAGAATGAGAAGAATGAGGGGACTCCCAAAATACTCCAATGTCTATGGGATTGCGCCATCCAACATGGTAGTCGCTAGCCACGTGGGCTATTTAGATTTAAGTTTATTCAAACCAAAGAAAGTTAATTCAGTTCCCGAGTCACACCAACCACATTTCAAGTGCCCAGTTACTGCATGCAGCTAGTGGCTACTCTATCAGACGATGCAGATACAGGCAATTTCCATCATTACTGAAAGTTCTGTTGGCCAGCACCGCCCTAGGAATTGAATGCAGGGTAAAATTGATGCTCCTTTTAGAACATCAGCCAACCCATCCTCATCTCAGCAAGTACCTCCCTGTGTGAGAGTCAGTAGGATTACCCGAGTTTTCGTAGTTTGCACGTTGATTTTTTCAAGGACTTCCAGAGCATGTTGACTCCATCAGGCCCCAAGTCATTTCCGAGAAGGTTCAGATTAACCAAGCTTTTACAGCTTCTGAGAACAGAGGAGAGAGGCTGGCAGCAAGCAGGTGTCAAATTGCATTTCTCCAACCTAGGGGTGGATGGGAAGGAGGTGTGAAAGACGGTCTTCCAAGATTGAGAAATTAGAAATAAAAGTTATACAAGATATAGGGAAAAATATCCTACTAAAACAGCCTGGCTGACAGTAAAGGTCTTAACACACACCAGACACATTTCCAAATGCTTATGTATAACTCATTTAATCCATATACCAATCTATAAAAGTAGATAATATCTTAAACCTCATTTGACAGATGAGGAAACATGTTTAGCCTGCCCAAACATAAAACAATTTTAGTATACAGTGGATGTGAGTTTATTTATAAGGCTCTTAAAAGGACTAAAATAGCATTACAATGGCTTAATTACACTTTTTCATCTTATTTCTAAACTCAACAATACAAAATATGAACATGTGGTTGGCTAGATACTAGGAATACAAAGACAAAAGTGAAAGTGTATTATATCAGTTTAACTCAGCAGAAATTTTCACCTAAGTCTATAAAAAAATGTCACATGTGGCTGTACGTGCAAAATTTGCTGCATGAAGAGTAGAAGGAAGGAATATAATTCCTTAGGTTGGAAGAAGTTGAGTAGGATCCAGAGAATGCTTCAAGGTAAAGCTTCCACTTGATGGATAGGAAGAGCATGGTATGAGAAAAACATGGGCTCCAGCCTCAGACAGGTGTGTCCCCACGTCTCAGGTCTAACGCCACCAGCAGGGCTTTTCCCACTATATTATATATCGTTGACCTCAATCCAGTACCTTTAATAGTATTCCCTTCATCTTCTAGACCAGTTTCTCAATCAGGGGTGATTTTTCCCCACAGGGGAGATCTGAGGATGTCTGAAGACAGGGGATGTGCTATTGGCATCTGGGGGATGGAGGCCAGAGATGCTGCTCGACATTCTCCAGTGCCCAGGATGGCCCCACAACAAAAATTGCCCAGCGCAAAGTGTCAGTAGTGCCAAGATTGAGAAGCCCTGGTCTAGATGGTAAAGATGGAACACAATATATATGACTTGAAGGTACCTCCTTTAAAACTACAACACTGGAGAAGGAGATGGATGAAAGTGAACTGAATGTCAAGAAGAGATCCATCATTAAAGACACTGCAATAGTGTTGCAAAAGTTCTCTCCTCTCTGCTTCCAGGAGAAGCACCTAGAGAGTGAGGGCTTAAAACCTGACCACCATACTTTTGAAAGCGTTAAGTATGACCCTGATTTACTTATATAATCTGGTGGCTTCTCCTTTACCTACAGGATAAAGAACATTGCACCTGAAGAAGCCCCTTTAAGGATAGAGAAGTGGTGAAAAGAATTGGCTTCTGGCTTATTTCACTCAGCATAATGCCCTCAAAGTCAATCCGTTTTGTCACAAAGGGCAGGATTTCCACAGAGAAAGACAGGTACCATATGACCTCACTTACATGTAGAATCTAAAAAAGCCAAACTCAAAGAAACAGAGAGTAGAATGGTGGTGACCAGGGTCTGGGCGGTGGGGGAAATGGGGAGATGTTAGTCAAAGGGCACAAATTTCCAGTTATAAGATGAATAAATTCTGGGGATCTAGTGCACAGCATGGTGACAGTTAACAATACTGTTTTATACACTTGAAAGTTGCTAAGAGAGTAAATCTTAAGTGTCCTCACCACCAAAAAGAAATGGTAATTATGTGAGGGATGGAGGTGTTAGCTAACCTATGGTGGTAATCATATTGCAGTATATAAATGTATCAAATAAACAGGTTGTACACCTTAAACTTATGTAATGTTATATGTCAATTATATCTCAATAAAGCTGGAACAAAAAAAGAACTGGCTTCTGAATCAGACTTGGCTTGAATCCCTGTCCCCATCTCCTTGCCTCAGTTTTCCCATCTATAAAATGGGTATAAAAGTACCTACTCCTAGCACCTCCCTGCTGGAGGATGAAGTGATGACTGTGACGTGTTTTCCATTTCCCAGCACATAGTAAGCATTCAGATGACAACCTGCCCTACAGAATGTTTTCCTACATAGTCTTATCTCTCTTTCCCAGACCCATCACTCTGTTCCCACATCATTGTTGAATTTCCCCACAAAGCCCGACTCTGAGCCCTTGTATATGCCATCGCCATCTATCAAGGACTTTCTTTCCCTCTCTCCTTTCCAGGCACTTGGGGATGGGGGTGAGGACTCATGTTTCAAGGTTCATCTCAAAACCCAACCTCCTCAGAGAAGTCTGCCCCAAGCCCCTAAGAGAACAACTAGAACCACTGCCTATGTGAAAAATGGCTATCATTTGAGCCACATCTAACCAAAATCCTATTACTTGAGGCTGAACCATCTTAGCTTGTTGAGGAAACACATCACATTGTGGTTAAAATCAGTCTTCCCCATAGGTAGGAAAGACTCTCGGGGCTGGGAACGTGCCCCACCCCCCAGCACCTACTATCCAAAATGTATGGATTGAAAGAATATTTACAACATGCCAAGGATGGGGGTAACAGGAGTCAAATGCTTTCTCTAAACTTGGAGCTTATCACCAAGCAGAAGAGATTTTTAAGAGGAGAACTCTGTCCTTCACCATTTCTCACCTTCCTAACCCCTCCATGACCATACATTATTCCTTCCCTACTTCAAGAGCAGAGAGGTGGACTTTCCCCAAAGGAAACAGCGTCAACTCACCCAACTGTGTTCAAGGCACAATTCGAATGTTTTAGAACCTCACAGAGTCGTTTCACTCCATCATCCTGAACATCATTTTTCCCAATATCCAAAATTTGCACATTATGATTGTGCTTGAGGGCATTAGCAAGCTCCCCACAGCTCTCCGTTGTGAAAGAACAGTCTGACAAACTGCAAAATAAAAGTATAAAAAAGGGGAAAAAATAATTCTTGAATCTTTAGGTTTTAGTCTATATGCTCCCACCCATCTCACTTTCTCCCAAGGAAAAGAGACGCCAAAGCCGGATTTCTCATCCCGAGCCCTAGAAAGAGGAGGGTGCATATTAGCAGGTCTGAGACACCCAGGGTACTCTATTTACCCATGATAGAAAGGAGGTAGAAGGAACAGCTATGCAGCCAACCCTCTCCCCATGCCATCCCAAGGCCTGTCCACACGGAGGAAGGGCTTCTCCTTGAAATTTACTACCAGAGCGCCCAGACTCTACGTAGCTATCATGGAACATGGTTTTCAGCCTCTGAGCTCAACATTTGAGCTGAAAAAGACACCAGGAATCTCACTCAAGAGCAGGACTAAATTTCTAAGAATGAATTATTACACCAAAATAAGTTCAAAATGAGTAATCTAGGTAAATATTTGGAGAATGAATGAATAAATGGGAGTGAGGAAGGGAGATAAGAGGGAGGGAAAAAGAGAAAGAGAGATAGGGGAGAGAGGAGACAGAAAGAGGGAGAGAGAATGTGGGGGAAGTGAGGTGGGGAGAGGAGAGAGAGAAGGAGGGGAGAGAGAGAGACAGAAGGAGGAGAGAGAGAACAGAGAAACAATAGGAGATTGACACCTTAAGGCAGAGAAGGTATACACAAGGCAAAAATCCTTAAGCCACAAAAGGAAAAGTTTGACTACAAGAAAAATATCCTCATGGTTAAAACTATCAGAGGCCAAGTCTAAGGGCCAATTAGATAAAGAGAATACACAAATCATACCAAAATGGCTCAATTTCCCTAGTGAAGAATGCCTACAAGTCAGTAGGAAAAAAGAAATAAAAACCCAATAGAGAAAAAAATATATCCAATTTTATCAACAGGTTTTCCATTTGGAAGTTTATGTTAATGGATTTCAACATTTGAAAACTGCTCAACCCCATTCTTATTCACAGAGATGCAAATATGCAAGGACTTTGAGTTTACAAAGGAAGGGATGTGACCCCTGGGGTTGTATTAAAACAATCTTGGGGGAGAGGGTCGGTGAGGGTTTAGCTGAAAATAGACTAGCCAGGAATCAATAAGTGTTGAAGTTGGATAATGGGGTAGATTATATGCTATTCTCCCTACTCTTGTGCAAGTTTCAGTATTTCCGTGGAAGAATAAAAGGTATGTTGAGCTACCATTTTTCAACCTCTCAAAGTGACAAAGATCAAGGAGGTTTAGTAACACTGTACATGAAGATGTGGATAACAGGCATTCTTGGCTGGTGGCCATGTTAGTTGGTGGGCAATATGTGTTAAAATTTTGATTGCAAATACCCTGTGACCCAGCCACTCCATTTCTAGGAACTTATTCTACAAGTATGTTTACATGCGTCCAAAATGATACAGGTACACAGATACATTGCATAACTTGTATACCTTTCTCAAAAGATTGGAAACAACCAGAGTACTTATTACATAAATAGTACATTCATTCAACAAATTAGCATGTAGTCATAAGAGAGTTAAGGTTGTTACATGCTGATATGCAACATTCTCAGATATGTTGTTTGGGGTGCATGTTTCACGGCAATAAATGCTGAGTAAAAACATACATACTTATAGATGCACAGAAGACCTCTGGAAGGGTTTAAAAAAAGACAATGAAAGCATTGGTGGCCTCCAAGGAGGGGAATCGAGTGGCTGGGAAACATTGGTGGGAGGTGGCTTCATCTTTGGTAACTTTGAATAAGAAAAGTCCAACAGAACTTTCCTTGATGATGGTGGAAATGTTCTGTAGCTGGACTGTCCACGACAATAGCCACCAGCCTGACCATGAGGCACTTCAAATGTAGTTAATGTAACTGAGGAACTGAATTTGTCATTATATTTAATCTTTATAATTTAAATTTAGGCACATGTGGCTAGTGGGTGCCATATTGGACAGCACAGAACCTTTAATCCTGTGACTTTACTCACCCATATGATTGATGCAAAAATATTGGATTTTATTTCATTATCAGTCGGCTACACCTTAGGCCATTAAAATGTTTCCAATATTATTAAAGTTAATAAAAAAATTACTTACAAATGTTTCCAAATTTCTTAGCACCCTGTGTCTGGGGATATTTGGCTAGCCTCCCACTGCTGTCTATATTCCTATTGGGAGTCATGAGCATTTTTAAGAGTGATATAGACTACATGTTTGAAAATATGCATAGATATAAATAATACACAAAATCATTTCCTTAGGACTGGTAAACGAGGGAGACTCGAGGCTCATTTCTGACTTCTATTCTGTATCAGGCATGGAATAACACACCGTGCAGAGAAGAGCCAGCATAGCCTGCCTGACCGCTGTCCTTAGAAAGGCCTGCTGGCAAGGCTGGCCCTTGGCTGGCGTTGCGGAGCTTGGATCTCAGGCGAGTCCCCCATTCCCTGCTGAGAATGACTCTCTCTGCCTGAACTGAGCAAACAATGTGGTTTAGGCTGACCACTTGCTTTCCTGTAAAAGTCTGGAATCTTGGTACGTGCTGAGCAGGAGGTGTCCACAAGACCAGCACCCAATAAAAATCTCGAGCACTGAGTCTGCAGTGAGCTTCCCTGGAGGACAGCATTCCACATGCGTTGTCACACTCAGTGATGGGGGATGAAGTGTGCCCTGGGTGACTCCGCTGGGAGAGACTTCCCGGGAGCTTGCGCCTGGTCTCCTGGGACTTTGCCCCATGCACCTTCTCCCTTTGTTGGTTTTCCTTTGTCTCCTTTCACTGTAATAAATCACAGCCGCATATACGACTGTATGCTGAGTTCGTTGAGTCCTCCTAGCGAATCATCAAACCCGCGGGGTGGTCTTGGGGACCCCTGACATGCATTGTAGTTGGTCCTTAACAGTCATCCCAGATTTTTCCCCCAACAGGCACCACTACCCACCCATACACCCCTGCCTCCAATAAAGCCAAAACCTCCCCAATGGCAAGAGTCACATCTGCACCCAGGACTCAAGCCCCATCTGGTACTCAGGCATTTGCAGGTCGATTCACATGGCTCCCCTCACACCCACTAAACAAGAAGGAAGGCACGCAACTTACTCCAGGTTCTGCAGGTTGCAATCTGGACGACTCAGGGCCTCACACAGAACCTTCACTCCCTCATCTCCCAGGTTGTTCTTCCTCAGATTCAGGTGCGTCAAACTCTTGTTCTGGAGGAGAGCGTCTGACAAGTGCCTGCAACTGGGTGCCCCGAGCTGGCAGAACCAAAGCCTGTGCATGAAGAGCCACAGAGACAGATGCTCAGGAAAGCAGCCCAAAGCAAGGCCCTTCTCCGCGGGCAGCCACAGTGTCTCCCCAGACCCCAACCCAGGACACGCTAAGTGTCTGTGCTTACTTATCCTTTCCGCTCCAGATGTATAAAACGAGCACACTAAGAATGTGCTGGTCATTAGTTGGTTAAAAAAAATAATAAAGGAATGATATCAAAGCGTACAAATTTTCAGTTATGCAAGATACATAAGTTCCAGAGATCTGCTATACAGCACCGTGCCCATACCTAATACTGTATCGTGTACTTAAAATGTTCTGAGAGGATAGATCCTATATTGTGTTACTACAAAAAAATCATCATCAGTGTCATCATCATCATCATCATTATTATTATTATAAAGGCGGCAGGAGGAAACTTCGAGAGGATGGATGTTTATGGTCTTGGTGGTGGTGGTGGCCTCACGGGTGTATATTTATCCCCAAACTCACCAAGTTGCATACATTAAATACATACAGCTTTTTACATGTCAAAAAAATAAAGTTTAATGTGAGTTTGTTTTTAATTTAAGTAAAATATTAAAAATAAAGGAAAAATACTTTAAATGGCCTTGAGGCAGCTGGGATGAACCCCAGACTCAGGAGCCAGTCAGACTTGGGTTCAAATGCCGCTCAGGTATTACTAACTGTGGTTGGCAAGTGGTGTTATTTCCTTCAGCCTTCATTCCTTCTGTTCTGAAGTGGAGATTGTGACGGTCTGTCACAGGCAGGTGGATGATCCATTGAGCCAGCCATGTGAAGTGCTTGGGACAGTACTTGGTCAGTGTGCAATATAAGTTATAGGAGATGTATCATATAACATGGAGAGACATATATCAGATCTATAGGTGTTATAGAACAGGGATATTATGTAATGCATGCTATGATATTTATAACAATATATCTTATATATAATATATAAATTATATACAGTATTACATATGATATATAGTTATATAATATATAATAGGACATAGTATAATTTAATATCATATATTATATATTAATATTAATACTTATCATATTAAATGTGATATATATTAAAGTATATGGTATAAGTATAATTATTACATATATATTATATTAGAATATATTATAAATATAATAATTGTACATGTATATTATTAGTTCATATTACACATGTATTAGTTTGCTATTCATACTCTGGCTCCTTAAGACTCAGTGCAAGGTGAGTGCTAACCTTTTCTTCTTAGCTCTGATTCCACGGTCTTTCACCATAATCCTCCCCTCTGATTCACCTCAAGACCCTGGCCTTCTCCATTCTTTTATACTCACCTGAACAATACCCGATCCCAGGAAAACCCACTCTCCATCTACTCTACACCTGCACCAGAGCAGAATGTGGCTGACGAAGAAAAGGTCTACACAATTGCACTTGACATCCACACCGCAAGTGGACTCTTCTCTCCCCAGCATCCCTGGAGTCCTGTAGTCCTGTGTACACCTGCTCACATAACTGCTCTATGTAGCTGACTAGGGAGGATCTCCTGCTCCCCTGTCCCAATCCAAACCCCGCTCTCCCCATCTTCCCCACGTCAGGAAATGGCACCAAGCTTCGCCCAGCGGCCTAAGCTCATCATCTGCAGGGGCTCTGGAGTCCTTTCTCTCCTAAACCATTTCTAACCCGCCACCAAGTCCCCCTGGCTCTCCCTTCAAATACGCCCTGACATCCTGCCCCCTCACCCAGGCCAGCTCTCTAACCCTCCCGCCTGGCCTACAGGCACTTGTTCTGCTCATACTTCTGCCCCCATTACAGTCCATCCTTCAACAGCAGCCTGGATGATCTTTCAAAGTACGTCCGAGTATGTCACCGTCCAGCCTCCAATCCTGAGACGACTCTTCATCTCACCCCAAACAAAACAGAGGCTCCTATACTGCCCGGGCATATTCCAGGCATCTTCCTGCCTCTCCAGCTTCAGCTTCTCTCGTGATCCCCCTCGCTCACATCACTCCAGCCACGCTAGTTTTCCTGTTCCCACGACACCCCAAGTGCATTCCAACCTCAGGGCCCATGCCTTCCTATTCCTTCTCTTAGTCTATGGCTTCCTCCCTTCCTTCCTTCAAGCCTCTGCTTCAGCATCACTTCCTCAGATAGGTTGGTGAGAGGAGACCTTCCTGGGACACCAACCCCACCACTCCTTGTCTACTCATCCCACTTTATTTCTCTCCATGCCTGAACTGTTGTTGATTTTTTTTATTTTTGTATCTCACTCATAAAACTGCATCCTCTATACAAGCAGGAAGCTTGTCTGTCTTATCCACCACCCCAACCGTGATGCCCACCTCTGTGTCTGGAGACAGGAGCTCAGATACTGATTGACTAAAACAGTCATAATTTCCCGGGGGTCCTTGTTAAAACTGAATTCCCTGGCACAATCTCCAGAGATTGATTCAACAAATCTGGGGTGTGATTAAGAATCTGTGTTTAGGACAATACCTAGCACATTGAGTAACTGGCCAATGAATGTTACTTTTCAATGACATAAATGAGTCCCCAATGAAGGAACCGTTGTTCTCCTCAATGCCTACTCCCATGGAAAGTCATTTCCAGAAAGGGAAGCAGGAGGCACTTACACCAATCTCTGTAACGCACACTCGGGGTGAGTCAGGGAAGAACACAGCAGCGTCACACCATCATCTTGGAGCTGATTGAACCCCAGGCACAGTCGAGTCAATCTCTGAGTGCTGGTGAGAAGCAAGGCCAGATTCTGACAGCTGGCCGCTGACAGGTTGCATTTCTCCAGGCTGCGTGCGGAAGGAGCAGATGCAAAGTGAGCTTCCGCTATACCCAGTTTCCTTTCTCTTTCTTTCTCAAACTCAGTCCCTCGGGCCACATATTTGGGACCCAATCATCATAGAAAAATTAAACTGGATAAAGAACAAAAGCTTCAAGAAGGAGTAAAAGGTGGGTCAAGGTAAGGTTTCTCAATCTCAGCCCTACTGATCTTTGGGCCAAATCATCCTTTGTTGTTGGGGGCCCTCCAGTGCATTGTAGGATTTGGTCATTCCTGGTCTTTACTCATTAGATGTCAGTAGCATCCTCTCCTCCCAACTGTGAAAACCAAGTATGTGTGTCCAGACATTGCCAAATGTCCCCTGGGGGACAAAATCACCCCCAGTTGAAAACCACTGGGTTTAGGGGAGGCTGGCAGAAGCCTGAGGGGTTTATACAACAGATCCTGGCAGGCGAGATGCCCACAATCAAGGTGAGGACAAAGCTGGCGAGACTGAGCCCCAAGGAGAAAGGTGTGAAGAATGAAGATGGCAAGAAGTGTGTCAATGGGTTAGGTAAATACAATAGGGGGATCCCCAAAGCTCCCCCAAAACATGCTTCCACTGCCACCCCCACCTTGCCACTCAAACCAGCAAAGAAGATATTTTGGTGAAATGAGAAGACTTACGACAGCTCCTTCAGGGAACACTTTGACTTCCCAAAGGGCTCCTGCAGACTTTTCACCTCAATATCAGAGAGATCATTGTCCCCCAGGCTGAGGAACCTCAGACTTGAGTTCTTGCTGAGTTCCAGAAAGAGTTGATGACAAACCTGAGAGCTGAGGCCACATGATTCCAACCTATCAAAGAAGCCCCAAGGTAGGGAGTTACTCCTGGGAAGAGTGGTCTTTGTTTAGAGGCCCCCTTGCTCCATGAACAAAAGCTGATTTCTCCCCATTCCTTATCCCTTACACAGGCAGGATGTCCTCTAAGTCAGTGCTATTCAAAGTGCGGTCCACAGTCCAGCATCACCTCAGAGCCTGTTAGAAATGCTACTTATCAGCCCCACAGCAGACCTGCCTGATCTCAGGGGGTGGGTCCCAGGAATGTGTTTGAACATACCCCCTTGGGTGATTCTGGTATACGTTAAAATTTGAGAACCACTGCTCTACACTATCATGCTTTTTCCCACTGCTCATCTTTCTCTGTATCCTTTCGCTGCAATGCTGACACCTGTCCTCCCAACGAATCATCAAACCTAGGGGTGATCTTGGAGACAGATCTGGAAAACCAAAGACCCACCACAGATACTTGAGGTTGCAGGCTGAGTGCCTCAAGGTTCTAAAAATCATCAAGGACACAGTAACTCCCAGGTTATTCGAGCTCAGGTTGAGATGGGTCAGCTTGTCATTACCGTAAAGCAAAAGGACAAGCTCCTTCAGAATCCTCACAGGAGTTATCGATTTGCACCTGAGGAAGACAGGAAATAAGTGAGCTAGCTTTGGGGCGAAGACTGCTTCCTCCTCTTGCCTTTCTAACACCCTCTCCCTCCCTCTCCCCCTCTCCCTCTCCCTCTGATGTACAAGATATAAAAAGATTCCAAAAATAGATTTTTGAGTATGGTACTAAATCTTTGAAAAGGCAATATAAAATATACCCCCAAAAGAGTCACTAAGCTCAGTTGGACGTATGAAGTCAGGAATCAATCAATCTCTTATCCCCTCACCAAATCTGCCATTAAGAGGTCCTGGCACTGCCTATTCTTCTAGGGAAGTGACCCACACACACATCAACCCAGAGAAGCCTGGTGAGAACAACTCTCGCCTCTTGTTTTTTCTTGAGCTTGTTTCTCCTTATCTTGAGGACTAAGTGATAGGACCAAAATGTAAAAAAAGAGAAAGAAAAGAAAAGAAAAAGGATGAAAAAGAAGACTGTTTAAGCCTGTTTCCCATGTCTTTGATCCAGCTCACTCAATGCAGTGAAGTTTGAGGTCATTTTGCTGAATCTTTTGCTCTTAACTCATCGTATCAGTGCATGCGTCTGATTTTTAGACCTTGAGGTATGACAGAATTACGGAGGAAGAGTAGAACAGAATTAGTTGACCAGAGTGTCCAACCAAACGCCGTCTCAAATTCAACTCTAAGTATCACTCACTCTGTCTTCTATCAGTTATTTCTTCCCTGGCTTATCTTACAAGGTCCACCTCCATCTGCGAATTCTTCCCTATCTTCAAGCCAAATTTGAGACCCCATAATTCCTACTTACAAAGTGCTAGAGGACCAGTAAGTTTGAGTCCAAAACCATGCTTCAGCTCCAATGAGTAGGTCTTTACTCAAATATCTTCTAGATATGGGAGGCCCTAAAAATGCAAACCATCCTCTCTCATACCCTTTCCGAGTCCCTGAACTGATTTCCTTCTGCTTTGGGAGATGCACCATCTCATTTACTCTTCTGATCGTTTAAAAGTTTGTTTCTCCATCACAGTGTAAGCTCTGTGAAGGCAAGAATCATCTCTTCTGTTCACTGCTATAACCTCAGAACTGAGAAGACGTGCTCAATAAATATTCATTGGATGAACGAATGAATGCTCTACCACAAACTATCCACCATTCCTTAAGAGACAACACACTTCTCATGGACCCCACATACCTTTAGCTTTCCTCAAGCACTTTGCCCTTATCATGTCCTAGAAGTTTTCTACTCCTTCACATTCAGCTCAAAACAGCAGCCTCACTCAGAGATCTTAAGGAAAAATTAGTTTGTCTACATGTACCTCTAGGGCAAGATCATTCAGGATAGACTGCCATTTTTTTTAATTTCTAATACAAGCACATTTATTTTATTCTCCTGAGCTCGTAACTTACTTTTTGGCAAATACTCACTGCGGTAATCAAAATAAAAATGTTGGGTTATTCTCCCATGGTATTCTTCAAACTGTGAGAGTCACACACTTACGTCAGTTTTTGGAGTTTGCACCTTGGATTTCTCAGCTCATAACAGAGTTTCTTCATAGATGAAGCATTAAGCTCACTGTTACTCAGGTACAGCTCTCTCACATTTCCATTGCAAAACACAGAGCAAATACCTTGCCACTGACGTATCTTGGAATCGACAAGCCTTGTCCTTTATGAGGGAGAGAGAGAAAAGGATGATGAAAGTAAATGAACCTCAATCAACACCCAGAATGTGGTCTACAGGAGGTAAAAAAGAGACCCTAACAAAAGGTGTGAGTGTTCACTGGAGTTCTGGATATGAACACGTGTAACCCGAAAAGCATAGTCCTCAAAGCCCCAGATGTTTTATTCCCACAATCCTCATCAATTCTTTTCAGAGGAAAGCAACCACGTAAGTGAGGTGAAGTTCAGACTTTAAGTAGATCTGAGATGAATTCAGAGCTCTGCCCCCAGTAGTATTATTTAGTCTCTCTGTTCCAATTTTTTATTTCTAAAATGTACACAATAAAACTTACTCTCATAGGATTTTGTGATGATTAAAGAAGATTCATGCAAATACTTAGAACTTGGAATTACTAGAATTCTAATTATTTACAATTTCCCTAATGCAATAGGATCTCAATGATAAAAAGAGTAAAAGAGCACTAAAGTCATAAATCAACTTTTTTATCTCAGATGAGATGAGAGAAGTAAAACCAAGTACACATTTCTAAAATACCTGAAGGATGGAAAGTTTTACTCTGTGAGTCCAGAATTGGAACATTGGTTAGAGTGGTCGTTGCCAAACTTAAGTGTATTTGTGTGTGTGTGTGTGTGTGTGTGTGTGTGTGCATGCCTGTACATCCATATGTTTAACATCCCAGTTAATTCTGATAGACAGATAGACAAACTTACAAACCACGGAGGAAAAATGGTAAAAAGCCATGCTGTAGAGAAGTAGGAAACGACCTTAACATCAGAAGTTCTGTTATCAACTTTAAAGAAGGCATGAAATTTCCTTAAGCCCTAGGGTGATCATGCCTAAAGTGAGGAATGTTGTTGACTGAATATCAATCCTCACAATAAAAGGGATTATCCTTGGTTGTAAGGGCCCTTACTCATGCGACCCAACAGTAAACACTAGCTAAATAAAGTCCCCTATTTAGGTTTTAGGGATTCCAAGACAGGACAAATGATAGCCAATATATATTGAACATTTATTACCCCAGACCCCCCCAGACCAAGCATCTTACTAATATTCCAATCTGGGTGAACACAAAGAAATTAGTCTTCTCGAAATTTTAATTTGTTCAACCAAAATTGAACTGGTACTTCTTGTAGCTTTGAGGGTTAAATGAGAAAGGATTTGAGAACACACATAGCAGCCCCTGTCTCACGAGAAGAATTTAGAAAACATCCCTCTGGGACCTGAAATAATTTGCAGAACAGCCAGGTTTTCTTATCTCCTAGACTGGAAGTCAGTAGCATCAGTGATGGGACAAGGTTCTAGGGTAAGTTGAGTATTTCTGGGGTTCTTCCAGGAGACAAAGTGACAAACTCATCAGAACAAGCTTCAGGATCTATTTGACACCGTTGGCCCCACCCCCACCTCAACTCATGCTCAAAGGAGAGGTATCCAGCATTTTATTTAAGGTCTGGAGCTCTGAAAGAGAGAGCTGGGCATTAATGCAGGCTGGACTACTTAATAGCCACATTGACATTAGCAAATTGTGTTTCTATCCTTCAGTTTTTGTATCTATGAATGGCAATAACAGCTCCTCCTCCATTTAGTTAGATGCAAGTAGGTGTCTTAGCACAATGCCTGGCACATAAACCTTCAATATGCAGTGCCTGAGATACAAGATCTACCTCTAAGCAGATCCATTAAAGTAGCCAGGGAATCCTACATGATACCGAAAGGAAAGCACAGGATGGAGCTGATCTAGAATGTTCAGTCAATCGTAACCACTGACAATACAACAATAACAGATTTCCAGTTTTTCATGGAAGAACTTGGGCAGAGCCCATGAAGATGAGAGAAGGTCAGGAATGAAATGGTTTTGCAATACTCACTCCAGAGTTTCCAAGTCAAAAGTCAATTCTGTGTGAGGGATGGGACCACTGACAGATAGCCTTAGTTTACTCAACCTTTGACAGAGCTTTAGGCAAAACGAAGAAACTCGGAGTTGTAGATGCCCAAAAATGTTGAGGTCAGCTTCAAGGAGGTGATTCAAAATCTGCCTTACAAAGTTTTCCTCCTGAGTCTCATATAAGCACTGAAAAAACTGTAGGAATTCAAACCGGATGGAGACAGGGTCAAACTTATCTAACTCTTCTGCCCATTCTAATAATTCGTCCATTATCCTGGGAGACATCTTACAATGCAAAGTATCTTCCAGTTCTCTTGCTATGTCTCTTTTTAAAAGACCAAAGAAAAACAGAGCCATCTGATTCCAATAGAAGTTTGTGTCAGCGAAGGCATCATTCAGTAGTACTCTCATCTCTTGATGCTTTGTGGGACCACCAAAGGATCCTTCTGTTCCCCTGAGCACATAGAACATGGCCCCAAAAAACACCTGGAAACTTTGGTGAGTGAAGGTAATGCAATCCTCACAGCCACTGACCTTTTGAAGAATATTCAACCTGAAGAGAGAATCAATGAGAGGTACTTCCAAGCGCCGGTGTTCAATGACCTCTTTTGCAAATGTAAAGTTCGAAAACCACATCCCCTCTGCAGCCAGAGAGCAGAGGGCCCTCCACTGTTCTGGCCAGCTCTGATCTGACAAATTCACCTCTGCTGTTGTGAACAAGCTGGAGAAAAAATAGGCATACAGACTGGTGGTGGTCTGGGTGCTCAGTCGGAAATGAGGATTTCTCCCTATCTGCCGCCTCAGGCAGGAACACACAGTCCAGCACACCAGAGGGGCAGAGCAGGAATGAAACAGAGTTTCATTTCTTCTTATCCAATGTAAGATTTTCTTGGCTTTGTTTTGGTCACCAAAGTACCTGATGAAATACTCCTCCCGGTCTCCCTCTGTGAATCCTGAGATTAGTACAAACCATGGATTCAATAACAGCTTTTTAAGATCTCCATCTCTATAGTCTCTTGTTGTAATCAGTAAGGTAGCTGTGGGAACCAATTCTTTCTTCAACAAGTGGAGTAGGATTCTGGCCACCGGGAGCTTCTGGTACCAGTCTGTATATGGCAGGCTATCGTCCCACTTGGAAGGCAAGGCCATTTCCTCAAAGCCATCAATGATGAACAGGAGCCTCTCAGGGTGACACATGAACTCTTCAATGGGGGCCTGAGACTCAGGCCAGTCTTGGGAAAGCAGGTCTGCAAAGGTGGTATCCTCCATCTCTTCCACTTTATGGCAGCTGATATAAAAAACATAGGAGAACCTGTGCTGAAAGAGAAAGCCCTCTGCCCAATGCAGCATGACCTTCATTGCCAGGGTGGTCTTCCCAACTCCTGCTCTACCCTCCAAGACTATCGTCTGGGGCTGGGCTCCAATACTATTAGGATACAGGAGGCTCTTCAGTTCTTCATGTTCCTGCTCTGTCACATTGCGGAGATATATGTGGTCTTCAGGCCATGGGATATGGTCCCACATCACCAATATTTTAGCCTTCATCCTCTCTCTATATCTTCTTCTGTGTACTAAAGCAGATAAGTGAGGCAAAACACAACAAAACAATGGTCAGATTGAATTTCAGCGTTAGGAATTATTCAATAATGAAATTCCTATATACAGCCCTGAACAAGACAGACAAGCTCTGCCTTCAAGGGTCTAACTTTTAGGAGGAGGGGTGTGGTGATGGAAAGTTGCAAAAGGTAGCAAAATTTAGATAGTTTGATGATACAAACACAAAACATAGAACAACCTAAGAGAGATCAAGAATGCTGTTAGAAGAGGGGAAGGGAGCAGTAGAGGCTTCTGCATGAGAGTTGACACCTTAACTATGAGAAGAAGCCAGGCCGAGATGTAGAAAGAGATGCTTTCAGGCAGGGTGAACAGCTGGTGCAAATGCCCTGAGACAGGAATGAGAACATTCTGGAGCATTTTGACCTAGTGAGATGCCTGGTAGGCGGTGAATTTGACCATGGGGAGGGGCTAGATTGTGAATCTCTTTGTTTTGAAGGCAAAGGGATGCCAAGCCATAGTTTGTATTTTTAAAAGATCACCATTCTTTGGAGAATGGATTATGGTGCAACAAAGGAGGCCAGGAGACCGGGTTAGGAAGCTACTACTGTTATCTAAGTGACAGCTGATATGTTCAGTCAAACATACCCATTGATGACATAACAACAACAGATCCTTCGTTCTTTGTAGAAGACCTTGGACAGAGCCTGTGAAGAACTGGAACATAGTATTAGAAAGAAAATAAATGGATTTAGGGTATATATCGAGAGTAGAGCCAATAAGATTACTAGTGATTTATAGCAAGGGGGTGGGAAATGCTAAGGCAAATAGAGTTGGAGATGCATTCTAGGTTTTTGGCTTAAATATCTGAGTGGATGATGGCTCCATTTACCAGGAAGGTATGTATGTATATACATATACATAAAGATCCTGGTGGAGAAAGCATGAGACGAGGAAGATCAAAGACCCACCTTCACATTTTTTCCAAGATCTAGAACTGATACTTAAGACTGTGATGCTTTGTCAATACTTCTTTGCACCTCAGTTCCCTTGTCTATAAATTCCAAACGAGCAGGAAAGAATGGAAACGCACTTTTCCATTACCCACCAAAAGGGAAATGTCATCTTCTGGGGATGGGGTCCCGGGCAACATTCTATTCACATGATAAAGGTCTCTGAAGGCTGGCACTTCTCAAATGTTCAACCTTCCAGAACTTCACCCCACCTCCAGAAAAGGACTATTATTCTGGATGGATCAAATCCCAAGACTTGATCACTCGACCTTTAAGAAATGGATCTTACGGACCAAAGGAGTGACTCACATAGGACCTGCTCCCCCAGAATGAGTCAAGCCATCTCTGCCCTGCTCGCCTCAATTTCTCTTCAATGCAGCAAGAGTTTGGTGAAATCGAAAACTCCACTGGATCTGAAACTCAGGTGGCTATTGTAGCAGAGGCACTCTTTGACCTAACCAAGTTGGGAATGAGTCTTGCCACCCAGAAGTTGTAAAGCTGAGCACAAAAGCACCACGCATATATTCAAAAGAGAAAAATTGCGAAAGGGAGAATACTTGCCGTCTATGTGACAGAGCAAGAGGTCATTTCCACATGCAATGTGCTCTTACAAGTCAGTAAGAAGAGAACAGCGCTCAAAAGAAAAATGGGGTGGGGGGGAGGCTAAAATGACACGTGGCAGGAAACAAAAATCTCAAAGCAATTATGGTTTTCAACTCACTAATAGAATGAATGAAAACCAAATATTAAATCAGGGCAGTATTTTGATCAATTTGGCAAATATTTGAAAGAATCTATTTTGATAGCAGGACAGAAAAACAGAGACCCACAGTATCGTTGGGGACATCATTTTATACAGCTTTTCAGAGGATCAGTTTGATGGCAAAGTTTAGGTTATGTAAGTGGTTTGATATAGGAGTTCTGGTTTAGGAATGTTTTCTACAGAAATACTTGGAGATGTGCAATGTCACGGATGTTTATAAAAGTATTGTTTAATATTAAAAAAAAAACCTGGAAACCTAGATTTCTATCAACAGGAGAAGGTTACATATAGACCATGATACATCCATATGGATATATCCACATATTCATACAATGGTTTATTGAGTAGCTGTTAAAGAATGGGGCTGATTTGTATTTATATGAAGACATGATAAAGATATCAGATGACAAAAGCAGTGTAGAACTGATGTGTAATCTAATTTATGACTAAAAAGCTGGAAGAAAAAAGACTAAATTTTTTAAATGGCTACCTTTGTATAATTAATTGGTTGTATAGGAAATGGGAGATTTTTAAAATATTGAGCATATTGTACTATTTACATTGTTTGTTTAATCACTTTACTCTGACCAGGAAACAGAAAACTCAGGAAACCAAAAACTGCTCCAAAAGTTATAAAAAAAATATTTAAGGAGATATTACATCTATTGAAAAGGATACTATTAAGGAGAAATGGATTTAACAGTTTTTATGTCAAAAATACTATTGATGGAACAATATTTTTCATGGAAGGTATGATAGAAAGTTAAAGTAATCTTTCAAATTATAATAAAAATAAAGATGGAAGCATGGAAGGGAAAAGGGTAAGAAAATTAGATGTTAATCCCAAGAAACATGACACCTAATTAGAGTTTCAGAAAAAATAGAACAGAGAAGGAATGATCAGCGTCAAAGAGATAACTCAAGAAAATTTGAGAATGGAAGGACACGTTTTTAAATTTAAATTTAAAGGTCCCACTTCGTATTCAAATCAATTAAGAGGATGAGGCCCAGAACCTAGTTGCACCACAACACTTCAGAACACAGGGGTGGAGGACCCCAAAAGTGTTCATAGTGTAAAAGATAGGTCACATCCAACATAAAGAATCAAAACGGCATCAGATTTATCTCCACTGGGCACCAGAGGACATCAGAACACCAGAAACATTGAGGAAGAACGAATCACAACCTGGAATATTGCACCCAAACCATTCATCAAAATGTGCACTAGAAGCCACTAGGGAAAACAGTATGGATATTTCTCAAAAAATTAAAAATAGAAATACCATATGATCCAGCTACTCCACTTCAGGGTATTTATCCAAAGAACATGAAAACACTAATTTAAAAAGGTATATGCACTCCAATGTTCATTGCAGTATTATTCACAATAGCCAAGAATTGGAAGCAACCTAAGTGCCTATCAACAGATGAATGGATAAAGAAGATGGGGTATATAGACACAATGGAATACTACTCAGCCATAAAAAAATATGAAATCGTGCCATTTGCACCAACATAGATGGACCTTGAGGGTATTATGCTAAGCTAAATAACTCAGACAGAGAAAGACAAACACCATATGATTTCACTTACATGTGGAATATAAACAAACCCATAGATACAGAGAAGAGATTGGTGGTTACCAGAGGGCAAGGGGGTGGGGGGTGGGCAAAAGTCGTAAAGGGACACATGTATGGTAATAGATGGAAATTAGACTTTTGGTGGTGAACACGATGCAGTCCACACAGAAATTGAAATATAATGATGTACACCTGAAATTTATATAATGTTATAAACCAATGTGACCTCAATAAAATTTTTTTTAAATGTGCACTAGGGAAATTTTCAATCAGGCAAGCTTGCAAAAATACCATCTCACAGTGACCTTTTTCAGTAAGTTATTATAGAATGAGTTCCCTGAGACAGTGGTGAGACAGACAGATGGATGGACATGGGATCTACGGGGTAAAGAGGAGAGGCCACATTCCAGAGTAGACAATGCAATTCCAGACTAAATGAAGTCCAGGATGGGAGCTATGTGACAACCGATACAGACTGGAGATGAGTGTGGGGCTTCAGGAAATTGTCTAGAAGTAATGACAAGGGAGCTGATGGACTCCTTGATACGTTCGATTGTGTTATACTTCCCAAAGAATTTTGGAATGATATAGTAACAGCATAGAAAGTTAAGCCAAAAAAAGCAATTATTAACTCAAACAAAAACAGGAAATGATTCCCCCAAAAACGTATATGTAGTGGGCTGAACAGTGGCCCCCAAAAAGATATGTCCACATCCTAATCCCCAGAACCTCTTGTGGCAAAAGACTGATATTACCTTATGTGGCAAAAATGAGATTAAGGACCTTGAAAAGAGAAGCTTATTCTGGATTGCCCTAAATGCAATCAAATATATTTCTACAAGAGAGAGGCAGAGAGAGTTCTGAGACAAAGAAGAGAAAGAGGCCATGTAACCACAGAGGCAGAACTTGAGAGTGATGCAGCAGCAAGCCCAGGAATGCTGGCAGCCACTAGAAGCTGGGAAAATGGGGGACTGATTCTTCCCTCAAGCCTCTGGAGGAAGCATGGCCCTGCCGACACCTTGATATTGGACTTCCAGCCTCCAGCACTGTGACAGAATAAACTTCTGTTGTTTAAGCCACCAGTTTGTGGTAATTTATTACAGCAGTCCTAGAAAACAAACATAGCATGTAATCTTGATTGATTATGTGGCTCAGCATCAATTTATTTCCAATGGCACTGAATACCTATTCCTTCAAAAAAAATGACAACTTTATTGGAAGATAGAAGAGAGGAGAGATATTTACCTAGCATGACAAGAAGTCAGTATATAATTGATTGAAAAACTAAGAAATAGGAGTGTATGTTAATCACTTTTGAGCATGGAAATAAATGGCAAAAGTGACAGCCAAGAGTGGCATGTGATTGCTTCTGCAGAACAGAACTTAAGGGTTGGGCAAAGAATTGATGCTTTTCATTCTAAGTTTTGCATTTCTGTGATTCTTTTTGGATTATACACAAGTACATGTATTTCTTTGATAAAACTAAACTTGTTCCATAACTGTACATATTAATTTATCAACATGAAGATCTCCATGGGGCCACCGATACAAAAAATACAGCTACTTATTAATGCAACATAATTACAAAGTCCAGAAGATACTGGTGTCTAAGAACTTAGAGTAGAAACACAGAGAATGTCCGGTATACGGTAACTTATTATTCAGTAAGCAGTACTGGAAGAACAGGTTGGGAAGAGTGTGATTTCCTGCATGCTATAAATTGAAGAAACTTTCAGAGGAGGTGGCAATGTGGACCCAGTAAAATGAACGCTCCATCAAGCAATTTGTCCTTGATCATCACAAAATAGTGTACAAACCTGTTTCTTCCTCTGGCATCCCTGGTTCTTCTTGGTTGGGATCTTGAGGTTCCTGCGCCTGTGCAATCTCTGAAACAGAGTGATGATGGGATCTTGAGATACCCCGGTCTGAAAATTGGTTGTCAATGATGGATGCTCTCAGTAGAACCAGCTATTTCTCCAACAAGCTTGGGATCGAAGAGGCTGAAGGAATCAAGCCCCATCAACCCAACTACTTTGGGAACATGCTACTTTGCAAAGACCACAGTACACATCAAGCGCATTCCTGCCCCAGGGCCCTGGATCCAGCCATCCTCCTGTCTGGAACGATCTTCCCCAGATATCCACTTGGCTGGCTACCTCACCTCTCAGTCTTTTCTCAAGTTCTACCTCCTCAACAGTGCCTGATGATCCTAATTAATACCACACCTTATCTGCTACATCACACACCTGAGGTTCTCCCCATCTACCTTACTCTCTCTTCTCCGTTGCACTTCTCACCTTCTAACATACCATACAAGGTACTTATTTATCCTGTCCATTAATGTCTTGCCCTACTACAGGGGGAGACAGATGGCTAGTCTCTGTTTGTTCACTGATTTATCCCAAAGTGTAGAATAATGCTGAGCACATAGAAGCCACTCTAATATTTTTGGAATAAAATACCATAGGAAGAAAAGCACCAAGAATTGGGTTCTAACCCCAGCACCTCATTTTCACACAACCACTCTGAATGTCCTGTTCCTCATGAGCTCAAGAGCCCCTTCCATGTCTCACTCACACAGTGGTAACTCCTATTCCACTGCCCAGAACTTAGCTGCTATGAGCCAGTGCCCCATGTAGGATTTGAATCTAAAAGGGATATGGCTCTAACATTTATGATTCCATTGGTTTTCAAGGTTTACGGGACTTGATCTGGCTAGCAATGCAGGTTCTGGGCTTTCTTCTCATGCTCTATGTTCCTTTGGAGAACAAGAATCCATCGTTCTCCACCAATGGTGGCCTTGGCCAAAAAACCCAATTCTGTGGAGCCCCTGTGCCCCGCTTCCACATACTTGAGCTGAATTCTGTCGTGGATTAGCTAGCCCTCTTAACATCAGGGAATCTGAATGGGAAACTTTTCCCAGGCATAACCCACTAAGGCCAAGATTGTCCCTTATCATTGGTTCCGTTTATCTGTAAGCCAACTACATGACATGTTGCATTCCTCTGTTGCAAATAATCCCAATCATGTGAGCCTTCCAGGCCATAGCTCTGCTGTCAACTATCAGGTGCCACAATCTGTATCTTGACACATTAAGTTGAAGACTCTAGATCTAGCTGGGGTACCTGTCAAAACAGCCAGGCTGGTCCAGATGAACAGCCTGGAATTTAGGTCCAGTTCCTTAAAAAAAAAAAAAAATCTCGATTCTAACTTCCCTTTGGCCATCTATGGATCCTGTTGAACTCCAGATCCTCCCACCCCACATTTGTTGGAATAGTCTTGGGTCGAGTTGAGGGTGTACACAGTGAGACGGCAAAGACCCTCCCAGTTCTGATACTACCCATCTGGCCTCATCCTCAAACCAGCATCTGGAAAAAAACAGGGAAGATGATGCTATTAGAAAAAAAACTACCCCAAAGACGAGTGAGTGAGTGAGAACCTACTCTGTTCCCAATGCCTTCTAAGCATTTCATCCTAGAGACTCAGAGGTAGGTACAGTGAGCCCCGTTTTTAAAAAGAGAGAATGGGGCAGTGGTAACCCATTTGCCCAGGGTTACAACTAGTTAAGTGGAACCAGCCTCTGAACCCAAGCAGTCTGATGCTAGAACTTGAGTTCTTAAACCCATAGTCTCCAAAAGGCAGCATACCTGCGCCTGTAAACTCACGTGCATTCACAAACTCATTCACAAATACATTTCTACAGCACTGTTCAAGCACAGGGATGCTTGCTGTGCCATGTTTCCTAGAAGATGGAGCTGATGGGAGCAGTACAAGTTATGCTGGCTGGCCCACTGGACCTTTTTATCACCTCCCACATTGCTAGTGAGATGGATGTGATCTAGGGCTTCCTCCTGTTTAAGAGGTATCTCTACAAGCCCCACCCCTTTAGAAGGCCAAGTGGGAACCTGATAAGGACCAGAGAGAAGGGGATCCCGCAATATGCCTGGTCTGGCTCTGTAGGTTTCAAGAAGGGTGTCGACATTACCGTTCAGGACCAGTAACCAGAAAGGAAGTTCTTTGAACAACATTCTCCTCTGTGCAAATATCTCCCTCTGGGATTGCCAATCAGAAACACGATTTAAGGATTCTAGATCCCATTTTAGCTCTGTGCTCAACATCTGCGTATTCCAGACAAGAGTACATGAGGGGTTTAAAATGAAGGGGTAAGGGAAGAAGGAAGGGAGGGAGAAGGAGGGAATCTAGTCTCCATCCCATCCTCCTGCCCACCAGAAGAAGCACAAAGCCTAACTCTCCAATGCCCAAAGCTCTGATAGGGGACACTTCATGTTGCCAACTCCCATCCCCCTCCTTAGAACTCATGCCCTCATTTGGGTGCAAGAGAAGCAGTATATGGTCTGGCACAGAGCCTCTGGAGACCCTCTGCCAGGGTTCACATCCAATCTCTGTGACCTTGGGCAATTTACTTCAGCTCTGTGCCTCAGTTTCCTCAGTTTCCTTGTCTGTGAAACAGGAATAACAGGATCTCCCTCTAACGAGAGAAGTGAAAAGTAAGGACCAATGTACAGAGAGTGTTAAAATCAATGCCTGGCTTGTAACAGATACTGGCAAAAGTTACAATTATTCTCTACAGGTCAGAGAGGCAGCCAGTTCTGCCACAAAGTGACATATGCGTTCCTAAAACACCGCAGTGGGTAAGGCTGCATGAAAAAAACCACTTGAGTTTTTATTTTACAGAAAACGGAATCAATGATACGTTAAAAAAGATAGAAACAATAAAAAGAGAAGCACAGTTTTACACTTGCTAACTGGTTATGAAACACTTTACCATTACAAACATTTTACTATTAAAATAAATAAAGACTACAGTGCTATAATAAATAGATAAATACTACAACACTGTGGTCAATAGATAAATACTATAGCACTGCAACAGGTAAATACTACAGTGCTACAATAAATAAATACTACAATAAATAAATCCTAAAGCACTACAACCACTACTACAGTGCTACAATACTACACTGCTACAATTAATACTACAGTGCTACAATAAATACTATAGTGCTACAATAAATACTACAGTGCTACAATAA